CTATATAACATTTTAGACACATTCTAGACAGTTTATCAGCTAAAAAAAGTTAATTTTGGGGTAAGTTACTCTTTAACAGCAGGAAACACGCCCACACAGTTGTGACCAGTCCACGCCCAGAAACAGCCAGGTTATATTTTATTTTATTTTATTTTGAGTCATATTCCAACATTTGATTAGAACTTCAGCCTGAAKGTGTTTCCTTTAAGCTACAGAGATTAATATTTTAACAGAAAGACAGGAAACGGCAGCTGACTGATACTGATAAGACTGAACTTTGACCTTTAGAGACAGATTTTAAAAAGAAAAAACATTTAGTTCTCATTATAATTATCAAATTAAATATTTAACTTGGACCAGAAGACAAAGACAATAATAACTGAGCCACATTGATTCAAGTCAGTTTCAGACTAAATAACTAATCAGACCGGTTTTCTTCAGCTGCTGAGCTAAAAGACTGGATTTATAACCCGGGAGAACGTTTTAAGACTTGGAAACGGATATTTAAACAACATAATCTTGATCAAATGTTTTAAAAAGTGAGATAAAAACCGTCTCGGTGCTGCTACAGATCTTGAGTCTTGTAAAACTCACTGAAGCTACATGCTAACGTGCTTAGCTGATATGACGCTTTAAAAACTCATTTCCCAGTAACTCACTCACCCCGCCGTATCCTGGATAGGCCATTTGATTTAAACGAAGCGAACTTCAAAAGATCTGGAAGCTTTTCGGGTCGAGACGAACACTTTTCCTACCAGGTTCGAGCTTCCGAGAACAACTGTTGCTACATCACATCCGAGCTGCCCGGAAGTGCTTTGATTGACAGCTCCGATGACGACAAAGAGTAAAGAACGGAGCGTAAGTCCCGCCCACCGGCTCACTTCTTTTCTGATCTAAAACTAAACATAAAACAACTTCAGAACATTTTATGTGGATTTTTCTCTTATTAGAAGACTACTGTATTTGTGACAACTATGGAAGCCCATTTCTGCCACCCTGATAAAAAAATAAATAAAACTTGTATCTCATAATTATGACTTAGCTATATCATAATTATGAGATAGTATCTCATTATTATAATTATGAGATACTATCTCATAATTGTGACTTAGCTATGTCTTAGCTAAACTTGTATCTCATTATTATGACATAGCTAAGTCATAATTATGAGATAGTAAGTCATAATTATGAGATAGCTAAGTCATAATTATGAGATAGTAAGTCATAATTATGAGATAGCTAAGTCATAATTATGAGATAGTATCTCATAATTATGAGACAGGTAAGACAATTATGAGGTAGTATCTCATAATTATAAGATACTATCTCATAATTATGACATGGCTATGTCTTAGCCAAATTTGTATCTCATTATTATGACATAGCTAAGTCATAATTATGAGATAGTATGTCATAATTATGAGATAGCTAAGTCATAAATATGAGATAGCTAAGTCATAATTATGAGATCTCATAATTATGAGATCGTTAAGTCATAATTATGAGGTAGTATCTCATAATTATGAGATCTCATAATTATGAGATCGTTAAGTCATAATTATGAGGTAGTATCTCATAATTATGAGATCTCATAATTATGAGATCGTTAAGTCATAATTATAAGGTAGTATCTCATAATTATGAGACAGATAAGTCATAATTATGAGGTAGTATCTCATAATTATAAGATACTATCTCATAATTATGACATAGCTATGTCTTAGCCAAACTTGTATCTCATTATTATGACATAGCTAAGTCATAATTATGAGATAGCTAAGTCATAATTATGAGATAGTATGTCATAATTACGAGATAGCTAAGTCATAATTATGAGGTAGTATCTCAATTATAAGATACTATCTCATAATTATGACTTAGCGATCTCATTATTATGAGATACTATCTCATAATTATGAGATAGCTAAGTCATACTAATGAGTTACAAGTTTTATTTTTTATCAGGGTGGCAGAAATGGGCTTCCACAGACTTCTGTTCTGACTAATGACAATAAATAGTTTTCATTATTTGAAAAGCTGCCCTGTTTTCACTAAAAACCACTAGATGGTGCTACAGGAAGCTCATCATTCTTTTTGTGCTCAACTTTTTAGAAGCACAAACTGTAGAATTTAAAGTGCTTTTCTTGGGTGTGGAACACACATGGTACATATGTACAAACTGGGTTTATATTACAATTTTTGTCCTACTTTTCAGTATTATAACATCTCTATAACCATGAATGACAAAACGTGTCTGTTTTCCACAGTAAAACATCATGTATCAATAATTAACTGATTACTGAAATGTGCACAGCCCAATCCTAAATTCARGGCTCATGAATGAATCTTACTAACGGTACTGGTCTCTTGGAGGCACACAGACATTGGAACATCTGAGGGTTGAAGTTCTTGCTTTGCCAGCTTTGTTGAGCTAAAAGTCAAGATTTTCATTATGACAGGAAACATTTGAGATCACCAGTGGTGGGCACAGCTATTCAAAATGTTAGCTTCACTAACTGGCAATCCACTGACTAAAAATTAGTTTTGCAAAGGCTAAACCACTAAACAAGTAAGAAAATTAGAGGACACTGATGCTAACTGATAATTCAAGATCTATCTTTTAAACAGAAGGTGGTCTGTCCTGATGCATCTCAGTAATCCAGGTAGAAACAATCAAAAAGAAAAAATAAGTAGGTCCTCTGGATGTGTTCTTCTTTAGTGAAACGTTTCGTCTCTCCTCCAAGAGACTTCTTCAGTCTGA